AGAGAGAATTTTCTCCTTACAATATCAATACAATATCAACAAGATAAGTAACAAGAATAAACAAAACTATCAATTTGGGGATAATCAGTTGATCCAATACTAAATTATCTGAACTAACATTAAAAGAATTGTATGGTTGACAGTAAGGAGAATTACAAATTTGATCTGGGAGTTAAAGGGTTAATTAAGGACACAACAGCTACTTAAAATCCTACATTTCTTTGCCAGTCTCACCGATGAAAGATCACAAAATGCCTCTGAAAAAAGGAGGATGGCTGACCAATCTTTAATCTAATAGATTTCTCCTCACAGTGTTATCATTCAATTAAACATTAAGGTCGAGAGAATACAGGAAATAATTGTCAACTAGAGAACTTCTTGATGGTCAAACAAATTCTCCTTGTCAGTGACACTGAAAAGATGAATGTTTAGTATAGTGTAGAGAATATTCATACTGATCTTAGGGAGTAAAGGATTCAATATTTAAGTGCAGTTTAATGATCCTCATTATCCAGCAAAAATTGAAAGTAACTACTTAAAAGGGCGAGAAAATACCTGATCCAAATCAGAAACATCATGGTTGATGTGATCAATAACAGAAGTTTTCTCTTCATCAAATTCCACTCCACATTCACTTCCAAGTTCACGAATGGGATCACCTGCAATAATTAACAAAAGGAATGACATTAGAGTTCTCATGCTTGTATAAGTACTAGGATAAACAAAAAAACTTAATTATGCAAACTTGGTACAAAGGGTGAACAGCTCACTTACCAATTGCAGAATTTGTTGCCACAAGAACATTTCCTCCTCCATCAATAAAGTCAGTGATTGCTCTGACATTCAGTGAACCACCAAATTCTGAATTGAATGACAGGGCAAGATAGACATAAATTCCAAAATGGAGCAAAATATTTTTAATTACTCTATCTGTAAAAATTATTCTGGTAATATAGTCCTAATGAACCTGTATCAAAAAAGCACAAAGGCATTAATGGAAGGCTGTGGATCCTAGATTTCTTTTCCTCAAAAGTCAATTCTAAAATTGGTTTATTTTCTATTGTTTTTTAGCCATTATCTCAGGGGGAAACATAGGAAAACATAAAAAGCTCAAGTGTTGTGAAACTCTTGTCAAGTTAGTATTGTTGTATTCTGCAGTTGGAAGTAAACAAACCTTCAACAGATGGTGAAAATATCACAAGATGCTGATAGAGAAATTCTCCGTATTTTACAAGAGAGAGGCTTGAGTCATCAGCAGAGCGGAATACCAGATCAAATCCTCTTTCTAGCAAAAAGATATAATACCAAAAGCAAGTTTAGGCCTTACATTGTGTTCTTAAGGAGACAGTCAAATTTCAAGAGGTTCCACATTTTCTACATATTATACAAGGTAATAGACCATTCATTGGTAAAATCAAGGAATATAATTGAAATTTATCAGCCATAGTCCTTTACACCCTAACATCAGTATGCTTGTTCTCCATACTGTTTTCTATACATTTTCTATGATGCTCACAAGGAGAATTTGTTTAACAATCAAGAGCTCCTTTAGTTTGTGATAATTTCCTGTATTCTCTTTCCCATAATGTTTAGAAGAGGGGAGATATTGAAAGGAGAAATTAGATGCTGGTCACTTTGACACGTCAAAGAGTTTAAATGCCCAAGTACTGCACTGTAAGTCAGTACCACAAAAAATGAATATAATAAAATCAAGGTTTTTCATTTTTTGTACAATATTGTTCAACCCTCTACACCTTAAAATAAGTGTGCACATTCTCCATACAAGGAGAATTTGTCTAACAATTAAGAACTTCCATTATTCCCATAACTTTGATGTGTGATTCAAGAGTGATATGTTAGGAGAAATTAGGTGCTAATCAATGTTAGGAGTCAAAGGGTTAAACAAAATCTTTGGTTTATTGTTCTCAACTCAACTCAACTCAACTCAACACAACACAAAAAGGCCATATCCTGCAAATCAATGTTTTCCTTTCTTTAGATTCATTACAAATTCAGTACACTCCATATATCTAGCTAATAAAGGACTTAAATTAGATTTATGATGCAATTTTGTGCACAGGCACACTCAGCCTATCCTCTCTGCAATCCTAGAGCTGAATCGATTCACAGGGCTCGGTGGATGGTTTAGCTGGCAAATTTTAGATTTATCGATCTAAATTACACACTAGAATTTGCTTAAAATATAAAACAATCCAGTGTCCCCATAGTATACACTTCACCTCTTTGTGCCCAAAACCCAACATTTTTAACACTTCCAAAGTAAGTCTTTGTTAAAAACCCCTGCTTGCAAATGAAGTTTGGTCTTACCTTTCAGAGAGTTAAAAAAGATGGAATGTGTCTCTTTTGTGTTGGCATTATCAAGAAGGACAAGGGTTTTCCCTCCTGCTTCGGTCAGATCAAAGCAGGCCAGCAAAACAACCAAAGTAGAAATGAAAAATCCTACAGAACGACACGTGTCCTTCAAGAAAGCCATGATGGAAGATGAGAAGGGAAGACCACTGTTAACAGCCTCGTTTTCATGAGTGCTGCGTCTATAGTTTCCAGTTTCCTTCGCTCCACACTAAATAAAAAATTCAAATGAAATAATGACAAAAACAAACAAAAAAAATTAATTAAGACCGTTCGAAGAGATACGACGTAAATTATCAAAGAAACAGATGGTACTCCTCTGAAATTTCGTGTAATGCGTTTTTTGGAAAATCGCATCATCCACGATTAAAACGTTCAAGTTATAGGCGCTTGAATATCGCAGTCAAAAGGTCACCTCATAAGATCATTTGGGCTTTCACTGAAGTGAACACGGAAGAAGTACCTTGCGTTGCGCACGCTCGAAAGAAATGCAAGAAACACGCGCGAGCAGATCAGACCGCAGTTGTTCAAAGAGTACTTCTGTTTAGTAAGTTTTGTAAACACTTTTCCGCTGGATAGCGATTTTATCCGCTGGATAGTGTTGTCACCCGTTTCAACAACTAGGCCCAGTACACACTTTTAGATGAAAATATTGCCGCATTTGTACTCTCAATAAATCTTGTTCGTTCTCATAAGCGTCAAAGCAATACTGCAAGAACTTGCTTGCATGTGCTGAAGCTTTGAAATATTTGCCTTGATACAGAAGACACTATACTTTGTTGCGTCTGCGAAGTTACGTCGCACGAGTGAAACATGCTTGGTAGGGCAATGAATGAAAAGGGAAATACAAGGATTTTTCTTTTATTATCGTTACTGGTTATTTCTAAGCTATATTGCTGAACTTGCAAAAGAAATAATATTTCGGCATCGTTTGAATTTCTTCTAAAACTTGACTGCAGAATTTCAATGGGTCCTGAAATTCGGCATCCAAAGCGCTATTTTACAACACCAGGAACTCAGAGAACGAGCCAGAACCTGACACTAATTATCAAACAATATAATGTTCATGAAAAACACCCAAGGCAATTTCATGTCCGCCATAAGAGAGACCCCTTACTTAGTTTGACCACATTGTACACAGAACACAAACTGTGATCGTAGCTTCCGCTCACAAATAGCCTAAGGAAATTCTCACAATTTCAGCTGATGAACTTCTTCCCAGGTATTTTAGTACATGTTATTATTTTTATTTTTTTTTTGGAAAAAAATATAGTCCTTTCGCATTAATTTACGCTTCCTGTGTTCGAGAAGATTATAGAAAGTTGGAGGTATAAAAATTTACTGTTGAGCTCTCGTTGAGACCAGCTAGAGATTGTTCTTTCAGCTTTAATCAACTCATCAAAAGGTTAGGATTCTCTCAACAGGGAGTTCGAATAGACGACAATTTTAGGGGTTTTTACTCCCCAAGGTCAATTAGACGCTGTTATTATTTTTCATGCCGGTTTGGCACAAAGGCAGAAAAAGCGAAAAAAAAAAAAAAAAAAAAAAAAAAAGGAGATTCACCTCTCGAAGGGAAGCGCTGCAGATGTAAGCGCGGTAGGCCTTGTTGGCGGTATTGCTGTTTGGTTGTTGTTCGTTTAATGTACGGTTTGACAGAGCGGCTAGAATTTAGGCGGCACAAAACAGCTCATCTCCATTCCCCCCTCAACGAAAACGCCCGTTGGCAATTCGTCTGCCATCACGCAAATAAAAGTTTGGCAAGCAACGCAGGGTTTTGTAAACAAATCTAGGTAATACTTAAGGTAAAAGGCCAATATAGTCCCTGTCATAAGTTTTGCTGCTGCAGGGGACATTTTTTCCCCTTGTTTTGACGAGAATCCGTTCACTTCTTGAACAAGCCTATCTATCAGTTATTCTCTTTTGTATGCCGCGCTAACTGCATAATTCATCTAACTACAATATTGTTGATTCCTGCTGGTAAATTTCCTCATAAAATTGATTGCAGTTCATTGCATGAGTTACAATGCCGCTCAGACAAACAACCCTTAGTTGGCCGTGTGTTTGAAGTTGGTGATCGCCTGTAAATTACTGCTGCGTATGCTCCAAGTCGCACCACATGCCTTGAAACCTCAAGTGGAAAAAGTAACGGAGAGCCTTTTATTTGGTTCGCTTGAATCATCGTGGAAAATTTGTAGAGGGAGAAGTGAAAAAGAGTCGCGGCTTGACTTCAAAAGAGGGGAAAATACTCCTATTCAGTTCGATTTGAACGAGGAAATTTCACAGAACAACATGGAAAAGAAGGTTGGAAATCGACTGACAAAACCAAACGAAAGCTTGACATCTCCTTCGCTAACTTCTGGAGTGACAGAGAAAACTTCTGTTGACATATCGCAAGTTGCAAAAGCTCTCGCTAAAATTGGCGACGCCCTTACTACGAAATATTCGCAAAGGATACCGGGTAAGAGTTGCAAGTCCAGTCTCTAGTCACGTGTTCAAATAAGGTGTACGTCTGGAAAGATGATTTCCACTTTGAAAGATTACATCACAATTCTCTCCTGTTTAAGTGTAAACAGAGAGAAAATAAGTGATAACACATTGATTACAAAATAAAACGAAGAGTAAGACAAGTGTACATAAAACAGTTGATTTTATGAACCTACTTTGATCTTCCTATCAAAGGTATCTACATACATTGAATTGCAATTTATATTCCATTCAGCCAGCGCTTTTTAAGTACTTCTGTAGTTTAAGATTGAAAATGGGAACACAGTTCTAGGTCTTGTAAGAAAAATGGCATGATAAAAAATGCAAAAAAAAAAACCTTGATTGGTAGCGTTTTCTTAGGAAAAGATCGGATTTTGGTCTTTCGTAGAAGACGATAATAAAAAAACAGCAATGCAGTATTTCGGAATAATATAATAAAGGAAGTTTTCTTGCAGCATATCGCTTGATAAAATAAGCAAAAAATAAATTAGGGTAAATTGACTCAGGCACGTTTTCTTAATAAGATTTTCCATAACAGGTTTTTCTAGACTTTGAACATGTAGGCGAAAAAACTCATGACAAATAATTGCGTGACAAAACCACTTTTCCTAAAACTTACATGCTAGATTTTGACCGGGAGAGAAGATAAGGAAAGAGCTAATGCAAAAAGCGGAATTATCTTAATTAGTGAGACAGCACGACATTTTCTGGTGACTTTTCATTAGTTTGTGCTAAATACACTGATTAACAAGGGGAATAATACCACCAACCTTGCCAACTATGTCACTCAAATGCTAACCGTTGACAGTTTCCGACCAAAGTAAAACAAGTATTCTACGCTTTACTCCCAGCCCAACGACATTATCGCACCAATTTCCTAAAAATTCCTCCAAAAATGAGTTCACGTCATATACTATACACCTAAAAGCCATGCCCACATTCTTAACTTTCTGAATAACTCATTTGCAATCCGAGTCAATCTGCTGCATCTTTATCCAAACTTGTTCCTTTTACTCTTATTCCCTTGTAATTATTTTGTTCTAAACATTTGCTTTTTAAAGGTTTTCTTCCCAGATTTACTTGCAACATACTGTGAACCAAACGCCTTCGACTGCTATCTTGTAGCATCTTTTAAGCAAAAAGTTTGAATTATTTAACTCCTATTAGAGACCAAGACAGAATTTCTCCTTACAATATCAATGTAAAATCAAGCAGACAAGTGATGAGAATAAAGAGAACAAATAGTAAAGGATCATCCGTTGATCCAGCACCAAATTCTCGGAGCTAATATCAAAAGTATTAGACGCCAGACAGTAAGGAGAATTACTTAATGATATCTTGGGAGTGAAGGGGTTAATTAAGGCTAGCGGTTTATTGAAACAGACAGAAACGATCGCCAGTGAATGGAATCATATCTAATATATTTAGATCTACGTGTTTAGGTTCAGCATCTAGTCTCGTACAGCCCTGATCTGGAGATGTATCGAACCCACTTGATAGTGTCATGGTCACTGTAGTTCAGTTTGGGTTCAAACACCTTCAGATAACGAACCTTTAATCCAGAACAAGCAAATGGAACCTAAAATAAATTATAATCAAACAATTAAAAAAGTTATAAATAAAAAAGGTACATTAAAATCATCTGTGGTCGACTTTGCAGCTTTTCTTTAGTTAGACCACGCAGTGCTCCCCAAAGCTGATATTTTGACACAGTTTGAATGACTGATATGCGTTCGGTGACTGGTCTTTACCAGGGATTTTTCACGATTTCTTGTGAATTTTTTTTTCCTTTTTGGCCTTTCAAAATTTTGGCTAATCTATAGTTGAACAGGACAGAATCGCAATAGAAGCAGTGATCCTCGCAGTCAGCGGCAATCTTAGCAATTGCAGAAAGAAGCTTGGAAAGATTCACGGTTCGATACGATTCCGACCCACGCCTCCCAAATACTTTTCGGTCGCTTTTACCAAGCCACCCTCTAAAATTTCTCCCGCTTTCCATCAGATGCAAAGTAACAACCACTGGCAACTAGATCACTCACATTTTCTCGTGTTTCAGGCAGTTCGCTTTTTTTTTAACTATAATTTCTTATTACCTCCTAGTGATATTATCCTTTGCTCTTATTAGTTGCTGGGTTTAACTGGTTTTGGTTTCACAACACTTTATCAAAATACGCCCTAAAGGAGCTAAATCAAGCAGGTTTCCGCAAGCCAAAAATTTTAGCCATGGACTACTAGTTGAAAGTAACATTACCATGGTAAGCACCCGTGTAAAAAGATAAGGTAACACAAGTATCATTAAAGGTAAACTATTGTAATGGGTTTGACACCTCACAGGTGCAGTTCACAGTACCTCAAAGTTGAGAGATATTGGGGGTCTGGCCCATTTCTTGTTCTCCTTGGTGGCCATAAGGTCAATTTCAGCACTAATCTGAGATTCCTTCATACCACCCATTCGTTTTATCCTGCGATGAAAAGACATCAAAGAGTGCAAACATTACAACGAGCAAAGATGAGTGCAACATCAAATCTTCTTTTGCAGTGGTCAGCTAGGGAACCCCGTAAGAATCTTAACATATGGATACATAGAAGAAAGCACTGTCTAATTCCTGGTAAAGGCATTAGGCTTACATTATATTGTTCAAATTCTTAAGTGGGGAAGTGGGGGGGGGGGGGGGGAGAGGGTGGTAGTATTTTACCTTTTGAACGAGTCTATGCAAGAGCTTTCATAAGTAATTTATGCTGATTCCTGCAGCTGCTTAATGCTGAGACTGAGATATAAACTGGTTTAAAGTCTATAAATCAATGACAGTAACATTCCATAAATAACACCTGCAACTTACTTCCACAAAATTGCATTTTCACTGGCCTTGTACTTGGCTTTCCCCTTCATACAAACAACTTGAACTCCTGCTGTAGTTGGTGGGGTGGGTATTTTCACCTGTTGAAAAACGACCCCTTAAAGTATTAAATACATAAAGAAAGCCAATAAAATGAAATTAGTTAACCTCATTCAATATGGTAGCTGCAAATAGGGGCACTGTGAGTAGCAATTTGCAGCTTTTTTTAACCCTTTAACTCCCATGAGTAACCAAGACAGAATTTCTCCTTACAATACCAATACAATATCAAGCAGATAACTAATGAGAATAAAGAAAAATATCAATTTGGGATAATTAAATGATCCAATGCTAAATTCTCTGAACTAACATTCTAAGAATTGTATAGTTAACAGTAAGAAGAATTACAAATTTGATCTGGGAGTTAAAGGGTTAAGGGATAGTAAGGGTTTTTGAGCCATACAGTTCACTTGAAAGCATTTTGTGTCATTCTGAGCAGTGCTTCAAGATGCCACTTTTATGGTCATCATGGCAAGTGGTAGACAATTTTGGCTACTAAATTAGAAGATTAGGTCTTCAGTTCAGTGAAAGATCTCACTAGTAATTCTCCCTACTGTCTGGCATACACTTCTCATGATGTAACTTCTGAGAATTTGGATCAACCAATAATCCTGTAATGTTTAATTTTTCTTTATTCTCAACACTTGTCTGCTCAATATTGTATTGATGTTTGAGGGAGAAATTCTCTCTTGTCACTCACAGGAGTTCAAGGGTTAACTCTACAGTTTCTTGTTTTAAACACAATTATTTGCCTTTTTGGATCCTTGAGTATCAAGCTTTGTCACATAGTATGAACCTCCAAAAATGATTCCAGCAAGCTTTTTTTTTTTTTTTTTAAAGAAAATTAACCTTATAATTTTTGTGACCAGTTTATGATTTCAGGTCACCAAATGGCACTTTTGAAAAAAAGATGTGCTTGGAGCCCAAATAAGTTGTCTGACTTTTCCTTTTGATCCCTACTTAGCTGAGTGGAGTGATGAACAAGATGACAGAAAACTGGAATGAAAACATAATTCACACCACAACTAGAATAAAAAAGTGACAATTACCTCTATTTTCTGCCCCAATATTGACTGTTTAAAATTAGACTTGATTACTACTTTCACTTCCATCCTGGACCTTCCAACTTCCCTCACCAAGGGAATGACTCTGAATGGCAAGCTGATGTCTTTAGTGGTGCGGTACCTAATGGTGGAATAAGCCAAAAATAATCACTTATTTACCTTCAATTATAGACTCACAATAATAACTGGCACATTTGGATTTTATACTTTTCAATTCAGAAAAAGAGGTCATATACCAAGAACACTGTGTTCATTGTGTGATATTTTTCAAAACCCTTAACTTCAGCTGTGTGGAAAATACTGGCAGTTCACCACAGCTTCTAAGACCTCTTACTGTCAACAGGTTTGCCTGCATGCACGCTTATGTTAGGTTTCTCCTTACAACCCCTTTTCCACATACAGTCCTCTACTGCACCATTGGCAGCTTCATGAGTGGGTGGGTGAGTGAGTGAGTGAGGAAGGGAAGGGGGGGAGGGAGTTAGTGAGTGAGTGCAAGTTTTCTTTAGGGCAAGATGCTCTTTTTTTGATAGACCTTGGGCTTCAAAAAAGGTATCTTGATCAAATTATCCTTAAATATGGGATTTGGAGTCATGATTTATTGTTGTTCCAATTTTTTTCCCAATTAAACTTCTCCAAGGTTGTAGCATCCCATTCAGGTGGCACAGTGGTGCTATGACTTACTTCAGAAACTAAGATACCACTAGCAGTGCAACACAGTTAACACAAGTGCACACTAAACATACTTTAGCTATATCAGTGGTAAGAATCAAAATACATGTAATTGTCACACAAAGGCTGCCACAAAGGATGTATCATACCAAAATTAGAAGTAGAAGATATTGAAAAACACTGTCTTACCTCATGAGCTCAAATTCTCCATCAGGTGGTATAAAACTAATTGCCCTTTCTGTTTCAAACTTACTGAGCTTTACACACTGCAATAAAAACATACAAAATAGATAAAATACAAAAATAATGGGGAATCAAGAAATTTCATACAGAAATTTGTAGAATATTTTCAAAACATTCAAGAATCAACCTGGTGGAATGTGCAGTCATCAATTGCAATTCCTGACTTGCTTGTGGTGTTTCTGAAAAGGAAAACAGAACTTAGAGAACTGGAGAAAACAGACCAGGCTTAGCATTTTGCCATTGTCAGCCCAAACATTTTTGGGCATATTGCAGGTAAAATGTTTAATTATTGAAGCTTTGTATAACAAGCACACTGATATGTAAACCACCAAATTTCACAATTTGGTTTTATCAACTCAGTTGATCATATAAATTGGCCACCCTAAAGAGTTTATTAAGCAGACATTCCAAGCATCAGCCCTTCATCAGGGAAACATTTTGAGTTTGGATTCCACATTTAAAAACAGGTCATTACCAGTATCAAATAATTATAAACAATAACAAACAAAAGAATAAAGATATTCTGGTGAGAGAAGAAAGTACTAGAACTACAAAGAGATCTACATAATTAACCCTGTAAATCCCAAAAGTGATTAACATGTTACTTCTCCCTATAGTACTCCAACATTATCCAGCAAAAAGGTAACGAGAATACTCAAATTTATTGGATAAAAGTTGTTATTTTGATCTAATATCAATTCTCCCAGCTACTTTACAAAGAAATGTGTAGCAGCTAGAGTTAGAGGGGAGAAATATCAGTCAATCAGATCATGGGAGTTAAAGGGTTAATCTGTTGCACTAACTTCTTTTGTGGATCAAGCGATGGCTCAGAAGCTCCACTCTTCTGTTTCTCCACCACTAGTTTGTCATTCATTCCAAATTTACACTCTGGCATTCCTGACAAGAAACTCTTCATGACAACTCGTCCAGAGACATGAGCACTTAGAACTTGACCTTCAAAAAGGAAAAAAACACACACAACTTTTTAGTTTCTGCAACATAATCCTACTTGGAGAGCAGGTTAGATTTTAGTGTTCACAGTCACCTTAACCTCAAGTCATTATTTAAAATGATCATTAACAATTCCCTTAAAAGATCTACTGTCAAGATGGATGACATGTTTCAGCAACCGTAGTAAGGACATTCATACCAACACATGGTCCTTGAAAAAAAAGTTGTCATCATAAAATGCCATCCCAATTGTTTAAATTCCACTTGCAAATATATTAGGAACTCTGGAGATCATGACAGAGATTAAACTTTTTTGACAAACCTTGTGGTGACATGAGCAGATTAACTGATTCCAACACATCAAGAAACAATTCATTTCTTCTATACTTGATTCCTTCCCTTCTCCAGCCGATCTGTCCTGTAACCTGGCTTGTGATCTGGGCCTGCTCTTCCCGTGTCTGCACCAGAGAACAAACAAACAAAATTTTCAAAACCTAGTGTTTATCTTCCAGGCTTATCTTGTGTCCTGTACCTGAAAACCTCCCCCTGAAGTTTCAATTATTAATGCCTGAAGGAGTCCTCTCTACTCCATAAGTATTTTGATGCCAAAAGAAAAGATTTTGGAACAGAGAGAAAGAAAAAACAAAAACAGAATTGATGTCTCCAGGTAAGGACTACCAAAACAGAACATTGGTCCTTCTATTTCAGCTGACAACATGAAACTTGTTATCCAAAACTCAAAACAGATGTAACTTTCAACCAATTGAGATCTTTACCTGCAGCAACATCAAACAAAACATATCCACCATATCAACAATGATGCACCAAGAGGGTGCACAAGTAAGTTGTTGCAAGGTCATTCTATTAGCATGCACACTAAAATTAAAGGGAGCCTTTTTCTCACCGGGCACTCCAATTTTATAATATTCTTGAAAATAAAATTTAGTCAGAACTTTTAACAAAAGATAACTGACCTGTGTCTTGATTCCTTGTTGAGTGATGAATGTTTTCAAAATAGCTGTATCAGTCTTCTGAGGATATCCATAATCAGCTATTTCTGTTTTCAAAGAAAAAGAAAGAAGAACCAGGTTGTTACTCAACATCTCTTGGAGCTGCAAGGTAAAACTATTTTGGTTGCCATGAAAAGAAAGGAAAAATGATGGTGAATGAGTCTGAAGAGAAAGTCACTGATTTGGTGACCAATATTCAGTAGTCATATACAAACTGTGTCAAGTGAAGACAACTCCTGTAGGTCATCAAGAAAAAAGATGTATAATCTTATACAAAACATTGTTTGCTGTTTATTTTTCTGGCTAATAAAGTTGATCTCTGGCAACCATCCTATGATTTTAGCAATTAAATGACAACTTGCAATAAGTTCAAGCTTGGACCCCATCCCCTCCCCCCAACCTTATTAGGTTTGTTTTTGTTTGTTTTTTAAACAAAAGGTTACACTTCCATTTTTCAGGAAGGCTGTGCAACAAAAGCCCATTATACTAGCAAATGATTTAGCTAAATGAACTAACCATCAAGAAGCTCATAAATGAGGACAAAGTTGTTTTTAATTCCCTCCTCAGTGACTTTTCCAAAGTAGGAAATCATAATCTCCACAGTACGATTCAGAAACTCAAACACCATAGCAGCATTTACATTCTGCCTTGTGACAGCAGCCAGCCAGACATTTCCTTGTCGTATGTGGAAGAAACTTGTCCTGGCAATGTTAGTAACTGGTGAACGCACCTGGCCTCTGGCATGGATAACATTCACACGAAAAGCATCCACAGCATTTCGACTAAACAATGAAAATTAATGCAAGTTATTTAGAATGAATGAGAGGGAACTTAATCATTCAGCTAGCAAACATCTTAACTGTACATGCACACAGGATGTCTTTAAGATCATGATACATTAAGTAACGAGTCCATATCATGGGTCTGAGCATCAAAATGCTCCTTGTGTGCATACAAAGTAGAACACTGGAAACATGTCAGTGTCAAAAACCTAACTGATAAAAGGCAAACCAGCTGGTTATTTACATGCAAAGCCCAGAACTTGTACTGCTTACACAGTAACTCATCAAAGAATTTTGTGGCTTCTTGGAGACTGTCCTCTCTTTTTCAGTGAGAGCTTAACCACTCTAAAGCCCTTTAACCCCTTCATGTGACTAGAATCTAATTTCTCCTTACAATATCATCCCTTAATCATACATTAAAGAAGTTTGTGATTGTTAAAAGATTCTACTTGTCAGCACCTTAGGGAATGTATAGGGAACAGTGTGAAGAATATGTATGCTGTTGTAAAGAGTTGACAGAGCCCTTAAACTTACGCTAGGAATCACATAAATCAAAGTTTCAATCCCAGCATGTCACAAGCTTACTTAATTAAGGTATCTAATGATTCGATTACTAGCAAAACCTCCTACACTATTCAAAATGTCGTAACATGCCTTCATATCAATTGTGCTCGCGCAGCAAATGGATAAGGATCTGATTGAGCGAAATCATACATCAAACGTTGCTACAACTTACCCAATATCGTCCCGATACACCCTCGAAATTAACACCTCTCCTTTATGATTGTAGATGAACAAGCCACCGATCATGTTGAATAGCACAGTTTAGCAACAAAACCAATTTTTTTACGACGAACAGTTAGCTTTCCAGTAGTTAAAGGTAAATTTTAAAGGGGCAAAGTTGGAAATGACGAGGTTATTCGACTAAAGTTTCGGTATCTGTACCCTAGATCAAGCCGCCATTTTCGACTAGAAGACACCCCACTCTCGCCGCTAAACTTACTATATAAGGAAAAATCTACCATACTTGGATGAAATAGTTCGAGCCTAGTCTTTTCAATTTTTCTCTCTTCGCACGCGCTAAGTTTTTGGCGAGGTTACATAATAATAATTTCAAATTGGCGCCATGGTTTGTTATGGCGGAGGAAGAACAGGAAGAAAATTGGCCAGAATTTTTCGAAAACAACCGTCTCATTCCAGTTCATCCGAATCGACGGAAATCAGGATCTCACTCCAAGGCCAGTGTTCCATTTTGTCTCGTTCTCAAGTCCGTGATTGGTATATCTCCACCTCAAGTTTATGTAAGTTTGTTGCCGTGGTAGTAACGCAAGCAAATTTTAGTTGAGGTCATAATATGAAGCTCGTTAAGGTTATTGTGACCTTTACTTTAGAATTGATTTATTTTTTTGCACAGAGCAACATAGAAAACCTTCGCATCAGTATTATTTGCCCTCTTGCGTGCTTCTTGGCCGTCATATTTTGGAAAAAAATGTAGTGTCTAGATTATCACTGTTTCCTGTTCGTTCTTGTTACTTTCTTCGTTTTGCTTTTTAAAAAAATGTTCCATGCAATGATTATATTTTTATCCTTTACTATTCAATTTCTGACCACCAGCTGATCCCAACAATTTTTTTAGAATAAATAAAGCCTTGTTTTCAGATCAGTGTCTAGGTTGATTTCATGACAAAAGCTTGCGTTATTACTACTAGTATTATCAATGATACTTTTTTTTAATAATCATTGCCTTGGGAAGTGCATGTAGTTACTGTAAAATCCTTTTTCTATTTCGCAAGTTTTCCATGTAACCCAATACTTCACTATACAGTGCTTGGATAAAAACAAACAAAAAAACAATGGCAAACAATTGATTACTTTGGGACTTTGGCTTTGTTTTAGAATATTATAGGGTTATGGGGAAATATTTCCTTTATTTTATCTCTTTTTTTATAGGATGTTGTTTCCCAAGACATAGAATTCCAGTTGCGATTGACACTGTATGATGCAGCTTATAAATGTTTCTTTGGGAGCACATGGCTTGGACCCTTTTTTCCAAGTAGTGGAAAGGAGAATGGCAGGCACAAAATTGTCTTTGAGGAGGTATAATGTCATTTTCTTCCAAAGGAAAGGAGAAGAAAATGCACCTAGAAAGACCCTATTAACTGTGTTTGAGGTCTATACTGTATGCTAGCAAGGGACTGAGTTTTTCTGCTTGGATTTATAGCCCAAGCGTAAGGTTCTGTAACCTACAGTACAGTCCAAGAAAACAAGGGTACTAAGATATTTATCTTATTTTTGAGCTCAAATAGAGGAGGAGGCTTTTAATTCAAACAAACTTTTGAATTTAGCAGGCCATACAGTGAAATGCCACCTGCAAATTTGACCAATCATGGTGTAGATATGAACTGAGAGAATTGCACAATCATGTAATGACTGGTTCACTATTTTGGGGAAATTAAAGTTTTTGTGTCATAATAACTCGCTACATATTGCTACATTGTTATGATGATTAGTTTTAATTTGTGCTCAGGGTAATTAATTGTAAAGCAAAAGATCACAGTGAACTCTTTTAAGTTATCTAACTATTTAAATTATTATGTATTGACATTTTATTAACAGAAAATCTATTTTTGTTTAACAGGCAGTATATCTTTACTCCTCTTTACATGATATCACATGTGTTGGGGTGGTTGAAGTTATTGGGGAAGGTAATGTAACCTTGAAACCTCAAATTGTAAAATTAAATGCAGAAATAAAGCAATTAACCCTTTAACTCCAAAGATCTCATTAATAATTCTCCTTACTATCTGTCAGACAGTTCTTGTGATGTTAGTTTGGAGAGTTTGGTTTTGAATCAATTTATAATCCTCTAATTTATATTTTTCTTTTTCTCATCACTTGTTTGCTTGATATTGTATTGATAATGTAAGGAGAAATTCTGTCTTGGTCACTCATAGGAGTTAAAGGGTTAAGTAGCTAAATAGTAAAACATTGGACAAGGATTTTGTATCATTTAATGTAACAGGCTATGCCACTGATGACACAATTTGCCTTTGAAGCATATACACCAATATAATAATGATTCATTCAATTTTTGTACTGGTGTAGTATTATAACCTTCAAACTCAAATTTTGTCTAGAAAGACATTTTTTCGATTGTTTTATGATTATCAAATGAACTTTATTTTCAAATTCACAGTGAATGGTCAAAGTTTTGGTTGTGGATGGACACTAATACGAATTTTTGACAGACTCTCTGAATTATCAGAAACAACTTCAGGCCAATCCACTCCAAAAAGGTTAGTTAGATGCAGTGGTTGACTAGTTAAAATAGCTGGGATCAAACATGACTAAGAATGGAAAACTTAACAAATGCGCAAAATAGAATTCTTAACCCTTTAATTTTTTTTTGCTTGCGAACTAATGTAATTTATTGTTGTTTGACCTTCTATTTCATTGGGATTGTATTTCAGTGTTGAATGTTAAGAAAGGTTCTCAAGTATATATTTTAATTTCTGCTTGCTGTTTTATTTTTCCTCATAAAAAAGTATTCCTTTGTACCATGGGTCACCCGCTGGTCTGCTTTGTATCTCTGAAACAATTGAAGGTAGGTACATGCAATTGCATTGTCCAAAATTACAGTGCTCTCCATTTTTTGGAGCTGGCCAGTAAGTGGTGTAACTTAAAAAGTGGGCAACAACATTAACTAATATATTAATGATGAAATTATGGAAGACTTCTTAAAACCAGGTATACACTTGCAATTAGTAAATGCATGTGCTGCATTTTGGAAACAAACTTTGCAAGGAAGTTTGCCATGGATTTATCTATGCAAATCTTTTTAATTCACCATATCTCTTGGTAAGATTATGATGAAACATTCTTGTTGCCAATTTGGCTACTAATTTTCAGGATTTGGTCACCAAAGTGAAAAATTTAGTCGCATTGGCGTCTGTATTGGGTGCAATTTCACGCCCTGAAAATTTATGACACTAATCCTTTTTAGTGTTGTGTTTTACATATTACTGTTTATCAAAATAACATAGGAAGTTAAGCCCTGTTCAAATGGTAATGATAGTTGATGATAGTCAATTATACTGTGGTTTCAACTTTTGGTCACTATTATTGACTATCATGTTTGCATTCAAATGGTTCATGATAGACGATGATAGTTGACAAAATCATGCAAAGAGGTCGTGTAATTTTAAACAAGTATGGGACGTGCTGAGGTCAGCAATTTCAGTTGCATTTGAAATTTTTGCTAAGAAGTTGCAAGCTGAAGATAGTGAAACCCACTAGGAGATGATCAGAATGAATTGCAAGACATTCTGCAGAATTGTGGGGGCTACTTTAGTCATTTTACCATTTGCCATTTCTGTTTGAGCCTATTTTTGGCAAAACTACTGACCAAAAAAATATCATTTGCTATCATCTGCTTGTTCAAAGAGCAAAAGCTATCTTCAACTATCATTTTGAATTTGAACGTGTTCAAACCACATGATACTTGATGATAGTCAATGAAAGTGTATGATAGTTCATGTTCAAACATGCTTGATTGTTGAAACTGTCATCAACTATCCTGACCATTTGAAGGGGCCTTTATTCTTTTATGAAGTAGTTGTGTCATTTTTCTTTTTCTTTAAAGAATCATCCAGTCTACTCCCGATAGAGGCATGCACCCTGAGTTTTGTTCTTCAAATCCATCCACCCTTGGAAAAGGTTTTTCACCTGATTCCTGAAAATGCCATCATGAGTGGTGATGACTTTGTGCCAGGAATTTTGGAGCCACAAGCAGATGGTAAAGCCTTCTTTAAAACTTTTCTCAATTAAATATCATGCTGTATGAAAATGCAATTTTCTATTTGCAACAATAATGTGCTTTGTTACATGGCTAATGCAGATTTCAATTTACTATTTGTTAGGGTCTGGAATAGTAGATATTTTGAAGAAACCCAGGCTGGCTAAAACTACACCAAGTTTTGTTAATAAGGTATCAGCTCAAAATAAAACATTATTTTGCATTGTATTTAGTCTTGACACCAGGGCATCCAACAAGGGCCAGTAGGCAGTTAAATTTTTTGTTCACTTCACATGATTTCCCTGACCCTCTCTTTAGCACTTAGTAACTTAAGTTTTTTGCTAAGCTTAAGAGAAATTTTGTACAGAACATGAGCTTCAAACTTATGCCTTATTCTAGTTCCAGAGTACAGGAAATGCCTTCTAAGAGACCCAAATTTTAAAACATGCTCAGGATAGCATGCTCCTGGGCTGCACCTAGAAGTCAGAGTACTAGCACCAGTGATCAATTCCCACCCACTTCCCCTTGCATTTTCCATCTGCTCTGATTCTTATTTAAAAGCGTGGGACATGAATTGTTTTCCACTTTCTAGAGTGGCAATCATCCCTGTTTTCTGTAGTTTAAAGTGTCTAGAAGTATTACTATAATTGTGCCCTGCTTGTAATGCTTTAGAGTTTGTTATTTTGTGGAAATTATCCAGTTACATACAGTCTTCATTAACATTTAATGTCAGTGACAGAGGTCTCATAGATTTGACTTATTACATTGTGGTTCCCTTTTGAGTGGTAGAAATTTTACTTTGAGCCTTGTGGATAAATAAGGCAAGAGTGCCATTGCATCATTTTCTAATTGTATGCTGTTAGCCCTTACTTGGACAGACCTACATGTAAGCCATGAAATGAAGATCCCTAAGCACACCAGGACACTGTTGTTTGTTAATGATAGTACTGATCACTTTGCAGCTGAGTATTATGCTGTATCCATCAGTTGAAGAGTTTGAAGATGAACTTCAGCAAACGTTCAATCAGGATAGGCTACACAGGGTACTGCTCTGGTTTTTATAATCTGGCACTTTTGCTCTTCCATAGATCACCACTTACTTACAGGGCCATATAGTACAAAGACTTTCTACCAACTCCATTAAACATAATTGCACCCCGAAATTCAAACAGTTACTAATAA